ACATGCACAATGCTCTCAAACACTCGACTCTTACCTTCAGTTCCGGCACTCAGACGTGGAGCCCAGCAAACAAGCCAGTTCAAGTAGCAACAACCATCTGGAGGTAATCCCGGAGGACCTTCACCAGGGCCTCCTGACTGTCATCATTAAGAATAAACTACATCCTTATCCAAGAACACATTTCCTCCTTAGTCTATTAGGAACTATCTCGAGAGCAATATGGTGCATATTGTGCGGCGGTGCATTAAAAACCCTTCCAGTGGGCGGTGGTGGATCACATACTCATCTAGTGGGCGGTGGTGCACCCCACACCCATCCAGTGGGCGGTGGTGCACCCCACACCCATCCAGTGGGCGGTGGTGCACCCCACACCCATCCAGTGGGCGGCGGTGCACCCCAAATGAAAGGGTTTCAGAGGAACATAAAGGTTCAGGAACTGAACCCCGCAGTACACGAGGTAGTATACACACACACAAATACATACATCCTAATTTTTGTGTATCACAAGTGGTTCAAGAAGTGGCCCACAACAGTCAAGGCAATTTATATCTGCGTTTAGTCAGTTGCAAAGTTACTAATTCTGCTCCACACTCAGCCAACTGAGGGGCAGGTGTGCCATATATGATATACTGTAGCTTCCCCCTGCGGTCGATATATCCTCCCCCAGTATACAAAGTTAGTGTCCCCCTTTTGTTAACAACTACAACCTGTTGGTTACTCTGTAAACAGCGGCCAGCGACCTGACCCTCACCCAAGCCAAAGATGCCATGACAATACCTGCTACTTCCCTATCATGATTATGTCACTACCTGAAAATAACTTGTGTTAAAAAACCACAATTAAAAAATCATGACTAACCACACCAGTGTTAGAGCCAAAGACGGGGTCCAGGTGGTAGCGAGACATACCCAGCTAGCAGACGGTACCCAGCAAATGAAGAGTGTACTAGGCATCTAAAAGGTACAGTGGTACCCAGCACCTACAAAGCTAGAGGACCAGTTATCACGTGGGAATAAGCAATACACCACAGGTAAATCTTAAAGAGGGACAACAGTATTCCCCTTAGAACAAGATGTTGGTTTTCAGCCTACGAACACGAAGGGCCTCACAGACCCCACACAGTCACCAGGGGAGGCTGGCCACAGGCGAGGCTGGCCACAGGCGAGGCTGGCCACAGGCGAGGCTGCTGGAGCACACACACTATAAACCATCAACAGGTAAGGGATCCATTGAGCCAGCTCAACACCCTTCCTTTAACAGGCAGAAGAGGCGTGGTGTTCTTACTTCAGTGTTGCATGTGGTGTGTCCAAAGTGGGGCGGAGATATGACGCACCACAGCTGACTGCCGCCCTCACGGCCTCATCAAATATTCACCAATGCAGGTTTGAGGGCTTCCCTCGGGAAGAAAGTCTTACACTTTCTTCCCTTTGGCAAGAAAGTCTTACAGTTAACGTATTTGGAGAAGAATATATAGCTGTATGGACTCGCCTTTCAGAGTTCACCCTGATTAGTATCTGTGATACAGTAGTTATGTTGTAATAGGATACAGTACTATGTTTAAGGGGATAAGGTACTATGCTTAATACATCATCAGCAACACACTTGAAGCAGCCGAGATCGCTCCACTCCACAAAGGAGGCAGTAAAGCAGAAGCAAATATAACACACCAATACAACTAAATTACACAAAATCTTTGAAAAAAAGAGTTCTAAGAAACCAGATCACAAAACACAGTCAAATCGTCAACATAACCCTGGACAACAGTGGTTTAGAGCAGGACGCTCCTGCCCCTCACAATGGCTTCACCAGTACCAGTATCATATGACTTTCTATGCCACGAAATAGCGCCGCATACAAAAAAAATGAGTCTAAAAACCCTCGTACAAGTGTTACCATGGTGTTACTAAACACAAAATACGCACCAAAGGAGCACATGACGGCGTAGGAAGTTGGATCTTTAATTTCGTAACGAAGAATCCAAAGAGTTGTGGTCAATAAAGTAAATCCTTATCATCCACCGCGACAATCCTAGTCCCCTGGGCCCAGGGTACTGTGCTTGCTCCAGTACTCTGGCCCCAGGGTACTGTGCTTGTTCCAGTACTCTCAATTCAGACCTAGACAAGGACACACATTTTAGGGCCGTATCATCCTTTACAGATGACACTAGGGATTTCACGAGAGGAGACACCCACAGAAGACACAACTTGCTAGGGAAAGACTCCCCCTAGCAAGCCAACCTGTTAGGGGAAAGACTCCCCCTAGCAAGCCAACCTTCTAGGGGGGGGGGGATGTCCTCTCCTATGAAGCAGTTTTCGAACCCACAGGAGCCACACAGCCACGATGATTCAACGAGAAAAACTAAATGCGGGTCATCCCTTTGCATCGAGACTTGCCCTGAACTTCAACCCCGAGAGCTACTGACTTTCACCTCCGCTCCTGGTGAGACGTCTCCACCTGGGACCCACTCAACCCCAGTTCAGCCAGGGGGCATTTCCTCATACGCACGGCCGCCGCGCACGCACACACACATACGCACGGGTGGACGGGTGCGTACACGCCCGAAAAGCCCGACAATTTTGGCGTGAAAGCCTGTGGGGGTGAACATTCCTCCCCACCTCGTTAAAAGTTGACATGTGTTGCAGTAACCATCGACATGTTTAGACACAACCTCAGAAACCCTGCTCAGTTTACCAGGTGTTTTCTACTCCCATTTTCTTTCCAGAGATTTTGTCTTCCTCCAAATCCGAGGGGTGACTCACCTCCGTGGCGCCAACACTTCACTCGTCAATATTGATCCACCACGTCCAGTGTCAGAGGAATGCTAGAGTGACCCATGCAGTCACCACAAAGGTCCACCATTCATCAACCACATACCTATCAACTTACGAAACCTGTACATCTTTCCACGATCATGGCGGCTCAAGTTTGTATTTATTAAACAGTTTACGAGATTCGAACTTCACAACCCAAGGTTATTATTGTTATGGATAACTTCATGGCGCTTCCGCGCTCACAAAGTGTTTAATAAATGTAAACAAAGCCGCTATAATTGAGGAAAGATGGACAGGTTTGGTAAGTGGATACATAAGGGCTAGGATAAACACAGGTTTCACCAATCTTATGAGATCTGCACCTCCTTCCTCGAGCTGTGAGATCGTCCTCATATATCGTTGTTACTGACGACCTCGCAAATTGTTTAGTAACTCCAGACTAAGCCTCCATAATGGAGACAAGGTCCTAGGTAAAGGTTTTGTGCGTCCTGGGTCTGGGCGTTATGGTTAATGAATTACATCCAGCTACTTGTCATAGCTACTGTGTATATATATACACTACAGTACTACCTCCCCGCCATCAACATTCACCTCCCTTACTTCATGGAGCGACACCTCCCAGTCCTGGTTACTGGCTCACTATTGACCTGGTTGATACCTGGTTGATGGGGTTCTGGGAGTTCTTCTACTCCCCAAGCCCGGCCCGAGGCCAGGCTTGACTTGTGAGAGTTTGGTCCACCAGGCTGTTGCTTGGAGCGGCCCGCAGACCCATGTGGTATGTGACCATACCACATGGATGTATTATTCAAAGTAGCTGAATCTAAAACAACAAACAATCCCAGATCTGGTCAGACACAGGGACGAGGAGGGGGCCCGCTGACCCCCCTCGACTATAGCGAGGCACGAGCCTCCAAACTCACCATTTCGGAAAAGCGTCTTCGTGTGTCACGGTGAGATCCTGATCTTGTCTGGTGATGGTATCCAGTGTTGGTAGGGGAGGCCCCATACCCAGAGGCTAGTACCAAGTGTGTAGTGAAGGGGACTGACTTCTACTGGTGGTCTGCGAGCCCTTAACGAGGTCCAGGTAAAGCAGCAACAAGGCGGGAGAGACCCTACGGTCAGTCACACCAAACCTCAGACACACACGCGAGGTAACAAACACAAGCCACAAACACCAAAGCAATAAAACACAAACGCGGCCGACAACAACGTGAACAAACTTTCTATGAATCTTCTCCGTTAATTAATTAATGCTCCGCTGGACACGGACAGCGGCAGACGGAGGCAAGCACATGCGCAGGGGGGGCACACATGCTCTGGAACACGCATGTGCTGGAACAGGTGTGTACTGGAGCAAGTAAGTGCTGGAGCAGGTATGTGCTGGAACAGGTATGTGCTGGAACAGGTATGTGCTGGAGTAGGTATGTACTGGAGCAGGTGTGTACTGGAACAAGCATGCAATAGAACTTGGATGCACTGGGGCAGGTATGGCCGCCCTGTTGGCCGCCCCACTGCGGCCAACAACAGAGAAATACCAAAATCAGTTCAATACAGGCGACTGGAAGGTCAATACACCTTTGTTCCCATAGCGTCTGAGACACATGGCCCCCTGGGGTAAGAGTGCCTTGGGATTTCTCAAAGAATTGGGCACCAGACTCAATGACGTCACCAGAAACCCAAGAGCTGCCAGTATTTTGTTTCAGCGCCTCAGTGTGGCGATCCAGAGTGGAAACGCCAGCTGCATTCTCGGTTCCTGACCGGAAGCGGAGGAGCTTCAAGAGATTCATAACCCCTTGAGCAGTAATTGTATTATTAATGTATATCTTGTAACCTTTAAATATCTAATAAAGCACAACAAAAGATAAAAGGAAGGGGGTGGTAGGAGAAAAACACACAGAAACTGTATTGGAGGGGACCTAAAGATGCCCTCTAATGTGTTGTGTGCGATTTCCTCCTCAGGAGAGAGAGACAATTCTAACTTAGAAAGATCTTGCAGACCCCCATACCTAAGACACTACTGATGCAAGAGGAGAATGAAGCAACGTACACACTACCCGTGAAGAGGCTGCAACAGCCCCACCACAGACTGAGAGGCAGTTTACACACACGACTCATCTGTCTCATGTGAGGCCGCCCAGAGAAAGCCCAGGTAATTACTAATAACAACGACCACTCGCTCCTCACTACACACGAGAGGGAAACTTCACAAATAAACTTGGCTCTCTTTACCTGGTGAGGTGCACCAGTTGATCATTCAGTGAGGGAGCCTCTATCACCATCAGCTCACCATCCTCCCACTATCCCCAGCGTCCGAGTTACACACCATCACTCCCTCTAGCCACACTTGTAAACCACTCATCATCTGCAAGCCAAGGTCTCAAACGACAGTACTGGAAGAAGGAGGAAAGTAAGAATGATTACCACTGCCCAGGCTTAGGGTAAGTAGGCAGGTTAGGAGGGTAGTGAGGCAGTGCCAACCCCTGGCACCTTCAACAGCTGAGAGCCAGGTAATGGTGTCTCACCAGTGGCATCTCTCTCTCAAGAAGTCGTGTGTCTCTCCATAATTACAAGGCTTTGGAAACATGGAGACCCCCCGACTAATCTCGTACATTCGCTAATGGACTCATGCTCGCTATTTCTGCGTCTCTCAGTGATAAACACGCCACCACACTCGCGCACACAGTTGAGAGCCGGGACCAAAGAGCCAAAGCTCAACCCCCGCAAGCACAAATAGGTGAGTACAAATAGGTGAGTACACACTGAAAGAGCTTGACCTAACGCAGGTAGAAGAGAAAGAGAGAGAACAAGAACGAGAGAGAGAGAACGAGAGAGCGAAAGAGAACCAGAGAGCGAGAGCGAGCAAGAGAACGAGAAAGAGTGAGAGAGAAATACAGTACACACACTTTCCTCCCCACGTCTCTCCGCCAAGGCCCTTGCCTACCACCGCCAATCAGCATATTGTAATGCAAATTCCTCGAGGTTGCCCACCCTGCGTGACGCCCACACTCACTCCCCTCCCCCCCCTCCCACCACTCTCCTTTGAACACAAAGTAAGAAGGCGCGTCTCATTACTTATGGTGTGTGTCAGTGAACAGTGCCGCCACACCACCCCACCACCTCACACGCACCCTTCACTCCTACAAACACACACACACACACACGTTAGCAGATGAACACACACACCAGCCCCGCTCCTGTGCCAGGTAAGTTACGGGCTCACCATAGCCCGTGCTACTTGAACTTGTTCCGAGTAGCTGAATCTGTAACAACAACAGCAGATGAAGTCCTTCACGAAACGGACAAAGAGAGAGAGAAAGATCTAGGAGTTGATATCACGCCAAACCTGCCTCCTGAAGCCCACATCAAGAGAATAACATCTGCGGCGTATGCGAGGCTGGCTAACATCAGAACAGCGTTCAGGAACCTGTGTAAGGAATCATTCAGAACCTTGTATACCACATATGTAAGACCAATCCTGGAGTATGCGGCCCCAGCATGGAGCCCGTACCTTGTCAAGCACAAGACGAAGCTGGAAAAAGTTCAGATGTATGCCACTAGGCTAGTCCCAGAACTAAGAGGCATGAGTTACGAGGAAAGGCTGAGTGAACTGCACCTCACGTCGCTGGAAGACAGAAAAGCTCGGGGGAGACGTGTTCACCTCATACAAGATTCTCAGGGGAATTGACATGGTAGACAAGATTGGATTATTTAACACGAGTGGTACACGAACAAGGGGACACAGGTGGAAGCTGACTACCCAAATGAACCACAGAGACACTAAAAACAACTTTTACAGTGTCAGATTGGTTAACAGGTGGAATGCACTAGGAAGTGATGTGGTGGAGGCTGACACCATACACAGTTTATAATGTATATATGATAAGAGCCCAGTAGGCTCAGGAATCTGTACACCAGTTGATTGATTGAGGCGGGACCAAAGAGCCAAAGCTCAACCCTCGCAAGCGCCACTAGGTGAGTACACATCACTACCAACCACAACAGTGAACTCAAGTGATCGTATAGCCACAAACACACACACACATGTAGCACATTACAATTCGTGTTACTGAAACGCTGTTAATATGCCACAATAGTTTCGTCAAATGTTGTCAAATCTGGGCAAAAATTCCACAATACATAACATGAGCGGCCGTGAGAAATCACAGACGACTCTACACCAATGTTAACGTGTCCAAAACAAATTACCAATAACACACCAACACTGAAAGAGCAACAAAAGTTTAACATTTTGCACATGCAATTAGCAACCCGCAACATGTCAAGCTGACTGTGGTACCTGTCGGTCCCATGAAGGGAATGCACTTAGCCGGTCGGCCGAGCGGACAGCACGCGGGACTTGTGATCCTATGGTCGATCCCAGGCGCCGGCGAGAAACAATGGGCAGAGTTTCTTTCACCCTATGCCCCTGTTACCTAGCAGTAAAATAGGTACCTGGGTGTTAGTCAGCTGTCACGGGCTGCTTCCTGGGGGTGGAGGCCTGGTCGAGGACCGGGTCGCGGGGACACTAAAGCCCCGAAATCATCTCAAGATAACCTCAAGATAGCCACCATTAGTGTCAGGTTCATGAACACGTGTGACTGTGACCTCTCTCCGCCACCGCCTCCCCCCTGGCTCCTGTTGCACCCATAGCAACCCGGGCGCCGCCACTACTGCAGTCACGGGGTTCGACTCCCGCGGTAGGGCGCAGCCCTTTCCTTTCGCCTGACTTTATTTCAGGGTCACCATGTATCTAGCGGCCACGACGAGGACAGACATCAAAACGAGACACCAAACATCTCTCAAACCACCTAGATGGTTATCTTGATTCTTGAGTATCTTGAGATGATTTCGGGGCTTTAGTGTCCCCGCGGCCCGGTCCTCGACCAGGCCTCCACCCCCAGGAAGCAGCCCGTGACGGCTGACTAACCCCCAGGTACCTATTTTACTGCTAGGTAACAGGGGCACAGGGTGAAAGAAACTCTGCCCATTGTTTCTCGACGGCGCCTGGGATCGAATCCAAAACCACAGTATCACAAGTCCAGAGTGCTGTCCGCTCGGCCGACCGGCTCCCTGGTTATCCACGTATCTGTGATAGTCTGAGAGACTGTTACGGTTCCAAAAACAGCCTACTTGTAAACTGACAACTGAACCTTTCTCTTAAACAGAGAATATTCTATATTTACAACTTTATTGTATTATCAATTTTATATTGAATTACATTGCGTTGGTTTAAAATATTAAAAGTAAACTTCGAAGCGGTTTGAAGAATTTGGTTTTATCAAATTGAAATTGGCGGGTATACTCAAATACTTTTCGAATTTCATATTTCACGTCCTGTATTAACGTAGTGAAATCAAATCTAACCTAACCTTAATCTAATGTAACTTTAACCAATCCTAACCATGGATACGAGTAGATAATAGCACTAATTACACAGCGGTTTTGAAGTCATCACCTCCAGGGGATTCTCTCTCCAAAGACAGGCTGTGGCATTTTCAGCTTCAGCAGATAGGCGGTTGTAATAGCTTATAACCCTATGGGTGAAAAAGCATCACTTGTTATGTGTCCTAGTAATATATATATATGTACACAGGTACTCGGGAGTTATGCAACTGTTGTTCTACCCTATGAAATGCCAGTAGTTGGCCTGGTCGACGACCGGGCCGCGGGGACGCTAAGCCCCGGAAGCACCTCAAGGTAAGGTAAGGCCTGGGAGGACTTTGACAAGCCTCTCAGACGCCCTGTCGTCTACAATGGGGACAATATAGTCCGGCCTTAAAGAGACCGCTCACATCTTCCATTTTCTATGACGTGATGGACGCTGGCCACGCCGCGCAGATCTCGCTATGACTACTATAATAATAATAATAATAATAATAATAATAATAATAATAATAATAATAATAATAATAATAATAATACATTACAGAGCATCTTATTACAGAGGTTCCGTATTAAATAAATTATATTTTGTATCTGCCGCACAAAATAATAAGGAACTGGCATAGTAGCTACAAATAATCAAGTTAAGAGACAGTTCAAGAGGTTATGGGTGGAAATGTTTGGGGGATTCCAAGTTGGATCCCCGACCGGGACAGAGTGGTTGGGCACGTTTCCTTTCATCTGATGCTTCTGTCCACCTAGCAATTTGGTACTTGGTGCTTCTATTCAACTTGAACAGACGACACCTCAAAACTGAGGTGTGAAATGTCACATAGTGTTCAACAGACTGGTAGGGTGACGTAGCCGTTCCAACAGTTACTGTTCTGCTGTGTTCTGTTCTGTTATAAGCCTACTGTGCCACCCCCTCCCTGGCACTAATACTGTGCCACCCCCTCCATGGCTCTCCTACTGTGCCACCCCCCTCCCTGGCACTCCTACTGTGCCACCCCCTCCCTGGCACTCCTACTGTGCCACCCCCTCCCTGGCTCTTCTACTGTACCACCCCCTCCCTGGCACTCCTACTGTGCCACCCCCTCCCTGGCTCTCCTACTGTGCCACCCCCTCCCTGGCACTCCTACTGTGCCACCCCCTCCCTGGCTCTTCTACTGTACCACCCCCTCCCTGGCACTCCTACTGTGCCACCCCCTCCCTGGCTCTTCTACTGTACCACCCCCTCCCTGGCACTCCTACTGTGCCACCCCCTCCCTGGCTCTTCTACTGTGCCACCCCCTCCCTGGCACTCCTACTGTGCCACCCCCTCCCTGGCACTCCTACTGTGCCACCCCCTCCCTGGCTCTTCTACTGTACCACCCCCTCCCTGGCACTCCTACTGTGCCACCCCCTCCCTGGCTCTTCTACTGTGCCACCCCCTCCCTGGCTCTCCTACTGTACCACCCCCTCCCTGGCACTCCTACTGTGCCACCCCCTCCCTGGCTCTTCTACTGTACCACCCCCTCCCTGGCTCCCCTACTGTGCCACCCCCTCCCTGGCTCCCCTACTGTGCCACCCCCTCCCTGGCCCTCCTACTGTGCCACCCCCTCCCTGGCACTCCTACTGTGCCACCCCCTCCCTGGCACTCCTACTGTGCCACCCCCTCCCTGGCTCTTCTACTGTACCACCCCCTCCCTGGCTCCCCTACTGTGCCACCCCCTCCTTGGCTCCCCTACTGTGCCACCCCCCTCCCTGGCCCTCCTACTGTGCCACCCCCTCCCTGGCCCTCCTACTGTGCCACCCCCTCCCTGGCTCCCCTACTGTGCCACCCCCTGCCTGGCCCTCCTACTGTGCCACCCCCTCCCTGGCCCTCCTACTGTGCCACCCCCTCCTTGGCTCCCCTACTGTGCCACCCCCCTCCCTGGCCCTCCTACTGTGCCACCCCCTCCCTGGCCCTCCTACTGTGCCACCCCCTCCCTGGCT